GCTCCTAGAGGGCATGCTCAGTTCCTTGTCACTCAGGTCTCACTGATGTGGTTGCTTACTTCATGGGCCACAGGAAGAGACTTGACTGAGTCTTCGAGATGGATGGTTCAGAGAAATGACAATCCATCATCTTTGCCATATTCTGATGGTTAGAAGAAAGTCATTGATCCTACTCACACTCGGGTATGAATGCCAACAATCGGAGATCATGGGGAACACCCAAGTATCTTCCTGCCACAATATGCCAGCAAATTTTGTTAGTCCTACCTTTAAAACCCACCCCAAATCTAACTATTTCACACCTCTTCTAGTGAAAAGAAAAGGTGAAACTAACTTGAGAAAGTGTCCTTTCCATTGTTATACTAGATATTATTAGAGCAGTGTGATTACCTTATATGTGGTTTTACCCTTGCATCTGGCATCCTTTCCCTCTCTTGAAGCAAGAAATCTGGGAGTCATTTTGTCACAGTACTTCTCCTCCTTCTACTCTCCTCATATTGAGCCTCATCAACTGTCACCAAATACACGGCATATTTATTCTTTTTTATGCCCGGACTGCCATTATCTTCTACCTAGTTTTTAGCATTCCTTCCTCTTAATCTGTTTTCTAAATAGAAACTAGAGTGATATTTTAAAAGTATAAATCATATAATTTACTACCTTTTGAAAACCTATTGCTGTCTTCCCATTAGACTTAGTGGTCCTATATATTGACCACTGTTTACCTTCCCAGGTTAAGTTTGTTCCACTCTTGCCTTCATTTTCTGTACTGCCCCACCAGCCCTCTTTCTTTACCTAAAACTCATGTTAAGAGCCTTTGCACTTACTATTTCCTCTGTTTTAGACTGTTTTCACTCTGCTGCAGGGCTGATTTCATCTCATCCTTTAGATCTTAGTTTAATTTTCCCAGAGAGCTCTTCTGTGACCATCCAGTTCAGACAGCTTCTTCCTGTTTTTCTTTTTCCTTTATAGCAGTATTTGTAATTTTTAATTATATTTCTGTCCATTCTCATGCATGCTCATTTTCTGCTCTTTCCACTTTTTCTTTTAAAGTTAGGGACCTTGTTTATTCACTCAACTAAAGTTAACTCATAGAAGGTGCTCAAATAAGTGTTTATCAAATACACGAGAGAGTAAGTGGAGAGTAAGTGGATTGTTTATTTCCTTCACAAATATTTGTTTCTGGATATATCAGTGTAACATTTTGTTATTTGGTGTACTTCATGAGCCTTTTTTTTTCCTGGCACTGGGAATTGAACCCAAGGCCTTTGTAGTGAGCTATATCCCTATTCATTCATTTGCTATTTTGGGACAAAATTTTGCTGTTGCCCAAGCTGAGGTCAAACTTGCAGTCCTCCTGCCTCAGTTTCCCAGAGAGGGGCATCTGCCGCTATGTACAGGTTTGTGTTTTGTTTTTTTTTTCAGGTTTGTGTTTTTGATTGCAACATTTTTTTCTACTTGTACTTTATTGAAACGTGGTTTTTAAAGCTTTATATTTCAAATGGTGACTTATTAACTTCCATGAAAAGTAAATACAGCAATTCCTTTTGAAAATAGTATTCTGGAATTTCAATTACAAATATATAGTTTTTGTTTGTTTGTTTGTTTTTTTGGTACCGCGGATCAAACTCCAGACCTTGCGCTTGCAAGGCAGGCAATGGAACCACTGAGCTAAATCCCCGGCCCTCCTTGGAATTTCTTATGTTACATTTCATCAGTATTGTTCTTGTCTTATATTTGATTCTCTGTGGTCTGAAAAAATTGACCACTTTTGTGTAAGTGTCTTTGGGAGTTCACCTTAGCTCATTTGTGGTAACCTGCCAGCCCCTCCTTAGGTATCTCCAACAAGCTCTTTGGCTGACAAGCTGAGAAGGGGCAAAGTGTATTAAGATACAGATTGAGCCGGGGATTTAGCTCAGTGGTTCTGCCGCCTGCCTCGCAAGCGCAAGGACCGAAGTTTGATCCCCGGTACCAAAAAAAAAAAAAGGTACAGATTGAGCACCCTCCATGCTACTTCAAAGAGACGGAGATTGGAGCATCTGGAGACTTGTTCTTGTCCTTTCTGAGTGTTTTCCTTCTTTCTCAAGATGACAGATACATGAAAGTGTATGTCAGACACAAAGTGTCTGTGTGTGGTTGGAAGCCTTGGAAGTCCTCAGGAAATATCATCTACAGCCAAAATTCTACCAAATTGTTACACTGGTGTTGAATGCATTTTGTAAAACCATTTTTCTGGATGGATTTAAATCATTTCTTTTTTGTCTTTTTTTTTTTTTTTTTTTTGGTACCAGAGATTGAACTTGGGACCTTGCGCTTGCGAGGCAGGCGGCGGAACCACTGAGCTAAATCCCCGGCTTTTTTTTTTTTTGGTACCAGGGATCGAACTCAGGTCCTTGCACTTTAAGTCATTTCTACTTTGATAAAATACAGTATTGTGTCTTTGAAAATTAGCAAGAGGTAGACAGAGAGTCAGACAACAGAGGAAGAGGAAGAAAAGAGGAAGGAGAGGGAGAGAGAATGAGACTGATTGAGAAATCTTCTGGCTTCCAGACAGGAAAGCAAACCAGTAAAGGGGGGAAAATCTGGCCTTAGACTTCTTCATAGCAACATTCAATACCAGCAGCATTCAAGGGAGCAGTACCTGCAAGAAAGGGCGGGCCTCACACGTTGAGCCAGCTGAGATGTCATTCACCTGTAAAGCTAGGAAGCAGATGTCTTAAACATGAGGAAACTCAGGGAAAGATGTGCATGTGAGTGCTACTCCAAAAAAACCACTTGACAGTGAAAGCAAGCCAATTCAGAACCGAAGAGCTCAAGAAGGAGAAGTTGTGGTAAGAGAACTATGAGGAGATTACCTCAGCTGAAATACAGATTCAGTACTAAGGAATAGTGGAATTATAAAATGGAATATGAGTGTTATGAACATGGACAGTGTCCAAGTTAGATAATAAAAATTGGGAAAATGGGATTAGAAATATGAATACTAAATTTTTCAACTATCAATGCAGGAAGTTAGTACATTCTGTCCAAAACTGTATAATTTCAAAACTTAAGTGAATAATTTTAGTCTGTACAATAAAATACTGCATTTACTAAAACTAGTTACTAAATAACTAATTATTAAATTAAAACTAAAATCTAAATAATTATTCATGTACTTCTTAAAAATGGAACATTCGGGCCGGGGATTTAGCTCAGTGGTTCTGGCACCTGCCTTGCAAGTGCAAGGTCCCGAGTTGAATCCCCGGTACCACACACACACACAAAAAGGTGGAACATTATAAAAATATTCTAATGGCTAATGCAGATATATGTACTATTCACATTTAATAGATGCCACTGTTTTATTTGCTTCAAATCATGTATAAACTATTTAAGACAAAAGGAAAGAGCAAGAATAATGGTTATCGATGCATTCTCCACTCAGGTTGAAAATAAGACATTGCTAATACAGTTAACCTGTGCATGCTTTTCAAAATCCAGAGAGAATCATTATCTAGATTTTAGCATCATTTGTTTACATGCATTTCTTTATACTTTAAGCATATGTAAAAATGTGTTGAGTTAGTAAATTTTCTAATTTTAGTCTTAACAAAAACATTCTGTAGTTTGCTTTTTAAACTCAGCATTGTTTTGAGATTTATGTTATTATTGCTTCAGTATATTTATTTTTCTGTATAATTACATGAATATATAATAATTTATCAATCTATTTTTAACTGATAGGCATTTATTTCCTTTGTTAATATGTTGGAATAAAGCTTTTCCTACACTTTCTTATTGACATGTAGTAATTTTTTCATAATTTTTAAAAAACTTGGATTATCCAGATGAACTCTTATAGAAAAGAAATATTTACTTAAAATATAAGAATACCATTTGTTTCTTTTGTTTCTATTAATTCTATAAAAAATTAAATATAATATGTAAGGCATTATCCCTTTGTATATTTTGTTAATCTGTTCTGACTGTGTGTATGTATAGAAAGATGTCTGAAATGATGTTTACTCCTCTATTAATATTTATTTCTAGATGATGGAATGTGAGGTGATTTTTTTAAACTTTTAGCTCTTTTGCATTGTTTGTATTCCTTTATAGTGGGCATGTATGATTTTTATAATAGGAATAGAGTGATACTTTCTTCAAAAATAAAAGAAAGTAAGATATTGAGTGATTTTTCAGTAATGCATGAATAAATGTGAATTGCATGGCGGGGTATAAATTATTTTCTTTTTGGTAGTTTTGTATTTCAGAGGTCTATTAGTATAGTATAGTATAGTCATAGTGTAATTGAAATGCTGTAATGTTATTCTGGCTTTCTTAAAAGCCAGATAAATATGCTGGGCATGGTGATGGGTGCCTGTAATCCCAGCACTTGGGAGTCTGAGGCAGGAGGATCACCGCAAGTTTGAGGCCAGCCTGAGCTACATAGTGAGTTCAAGGTCAGCCTGAACTATAGAGCAAGACCCTGTCTCAGAAAGAGAGAGAGAGAGAGAGAGAGAGAGAGAGAGAGAGAGAGAGAGAGAGGAAGGAAGAAAAGAAATGAAACAAAGAAAGAAAGAAAGCCTTTAACAATAACAATAAAGCCAGATAAAAGAAAAGTTCAGTAATTTTCATTTATTTAATTATTATCCCCTTTCCAGTACTATCTTCATTTTCTCATGTTGAATGAGGAAAAAGTTATTATAAGTAACTTAAGTCCTGATAGTACTGTATAATGCAAGGTTCAGGTGATTTAGACAGTGTGTGTAAGAGGTTTTCAGGAGGTGTTAGAAACTTCATTGTTTTAATCCCCAGGTTGTGTAGTTCAGCTCCCCTTCCTGAGTTCTCATATGCCCAGTGGACCCAGGTTTCAGGTGTGTTTGCCAATGTGATAGGTACCTCCCTGTATCTATGGTAGATTTAGTGAACATCTCCAAACTGGATTATATCACAAATAAAAGAGTACAAGATGTTCTGATTTGTCATTTGGGTAAAAATATGGTCTGTTTGTTTTATAGGTATGACCTTGTTTCTAAAGAATGGCTTCCGCTGAACCGTTCTGTGAACAATGTGGTTGTGAGATATGGTCATTCTTTAGCATTATATAAGGTAAGGTATTATATAAGGTTTGTATTAAGCAATAAACTCAGCCCCTCCTTAGGTTCATTTTGTACTGTATAGTTGAAGAGCTAGTCAATGTTGGTTTCTAATTGAAAAAAACTGGGGGAGGGGTTAAGTAATTGGTTAAGTTCTAATTGGAAACTGAAGTCAAAGTTTTTTTAACCCATGATTATGGTGCACATGATTAAAAATGTAGATTAATGAGTGTAGGTTAGCTTTGATGTCCATTAGCGAAGTTTAGACAAGAATAACCACATTGTAATGTAACTGAATAATCATTTTCATTTCCTTGTGTTTGTAGGTATGTGGTAGAATGGGGCAACTTTATTTTTCTGTCATTTTATTCTATAAAAGGTCTCATTTGAGGAAGTCCAAGAAAAGTGGCAAAGTTTTAGAGAAATAGAATATTTGTTTTATTTTATTTTGTTCCTTTTTCTATCCTTTTCCTAATAATTGCTGAAAGGTACATTTTACTAATATTTTTAAAGTTAATAATATTGACATTTTGAACTGATCATTTTCTATTCTCAGATTTGAATTTTTAATATTTCTTTTTTAAATTTTTTAATATTTCTTAAAAATTCTATTTACATTTTTTCCTTAGGATAAAATTTACATGTATGGAGGAAAAATTGATTCAACAGGGAATGTGACCAATGAGTTGAGAGTGCTTCATATTCATAATGAGTCGTGGGCGTTGTTGACCCCAAAGGCAAAGGAACAGTATGCAGTGGTTGGGCACTCAGCACACATCATTACACTGAAAACTGGCCGAGTGGTCATGCTGGTCATTTTTGGTCACTGCCCTCTCTATGGCTATATAAGTAGTGTGCAGGAATATGACTTGGGTAGGTACAATTTTTCCAGTGGATGTGTTTCTTATTTTTTTTGCAATACCGGGGATCGATCTCAGGACCTTGTGCTTGTGAGGCAGGCGCTAAATCCCTGGTGGGTGGATGTGTTTTGAAAATGAAATTTAAAACCTCTATCCTCATTATTAGGATGATTTAACAAGATTCAACCTAACTCGGTCCAGTTCTTTTTCTTTTTTTTGGTACCAGGGATTGAACCCGAGTTCGATCAGCAGCAGGAGCCAAAACCACTGAGCTAAATCCCCGGCCCCCAGCTCTTTTTCTTGAAACCCATTTAAAATAATGTTTTACTAGGGAAATTGAGATTATTGATCCTTTCTATAGTATATATTTGTTACTGTTGATTTGTAAGGAGCCAAAAATGGTACTAAATGCTTTGACTGTATGTTAAAATAAATAAAAATTCAAACAAAAAAATACTCTGAAAAAAATTTGGATAGCCTTTTAGAGATTAGTTTAATGGAGATTGATTTCACGTGTGCATGTGTGTTTGTGTGTATTTCCTCTTTTGGTTAAATTTTATTATCTCTGTTATTGTTCATTAGAAGTATCAGCTGTAATTGATGATTTGAGAAAGTAGGCCTATGAAGGTGTGTTGATCATTAAAGGTCATAGAGAATTAAATGTTGATTTGTAGGGACTCTTAAATTTAGTGACATTCTTTTCCTGTGTAGCATATAGAACATTTAACCCACTGGAGTTTGGCCACATGTCTTTGATACAAGTTTTAGATGGGTTCCTTTTAAAATAAAAAGATAAAAATTTTTATCTATAACTACAAATACTTCCATATTCATATATATATCAGCTTTCTTGAATATGATATATATAATCAGCTCTCTTGAAATCTCTTCTCTTCCCCTAAGCTGCTTAGATTTTGAGTCTTAGAGAAGAAGATTGCAATGTTTGCCTTTAACTGGTTTCTCTGTTTCCAGATAAGAACACATGGAATATATTACAGACCCAGGGTGCTCTTGTACAAGGGGGCTATGGCCACAGCAGTGTTTATGATCATAAGACCAAGGCCCTGTATATTCATGGTGGCTACAAGGCTTTCAGTGCAAATAAATACCGGCTCACTGATGACCTCTACAGATACGAAGTGGATACCCAAATGTGGTGGGTGGTATTTCTTAAGCTTTTCACTTTAAGATGTGAATTCTGGAAAGGTATTATCGGGAAAATGTATATTTTTATTTTCAGACCTGGTAGATAATTCCGAGACTCTCTCTTGGCATTGTACATAAAGAAGTCAGACCTGGTAGATAATCCAGAGATTATCTCTTGGCATTGTACATAGAGAAATTAGGAAATATGCACAGGGTAAGAAAGTAGCTAATGTTTATATTTTTACACTTCTCTATAATTCTATAGAAGGATGACTAGAAAATGCTTGGCAGTTTTGAGCTGATTTTCAATTTCCATACACTAAGCACTACTATAAAATTTTATCTCTTCAGAATTCTAAAGAATAATTTATATAGCTCAGTTTGTACACATTTTTGTAATTAAGTAAAAGTTTTTGCTTGTTTACTTTTTTGGTTTGTTTGGTGGTGGTGTTGGGGATCAAACCCAGGGACTTGCATATCCTAGGAAAGTACCCTACCACTGATCTGTATCCCTACTCAAGAAATATCCAGTATTTAACCTTGCTTGATATCAAACTATAACTTTTAGGATCAGTTACTGGTGTCATCCCATAAAATCATTAACCAAGGTATTCTTATATCTAATTGATAGAGCTTTCCTCTCTGTGAACTATAGATATGCCTGTGAAAAGTGTGCTAATTTTAACAAATGTAAAGCACATTTGAGTTATGAAATAATGTAATTATAAATATTTCCTCATATTTGAGATCATGTCATGAACATGATTTCACCTATTGTCATAAAAATCTTTGTTTTTAGTGGCTAATATTCCATTGTGTGAGGATACTAAGCCAGTGTAGTTGGAGATTTTGATTTCTAGCTTTTGTCTTATTATTAAATAATTGTACAGAAGTTTCTTTCTATATTTCATATGATTTCTGCCCAGAAATTATAATTATAGTGCCTTACAGAATAAACATTTTAAAGCTCTTAATATATTTTGACAAAATTCTTATAGATTTTCTTGCATATTTGTTGAGAAAATTACATATAGGGAAAGTCTGGAAGTATTTGCACATTTGGGTCTGAAGTTAATAAATTGGTTTTGTTTGTGTTATCAGATAAATATTCTTTAAAAACTAACCTTGTATTTATTGTTTTTAAATAAACTCAAAAGGACCATTCTTAAGGATAGCAGATTTTTCCGTTACTTGCACACAGCTGTGATAGTGAGTGGAACCATGCTGGTGTTTGGAGGAAATACACACAATGACACATCTATGAGCCATGGTGCCAAATGTTTCTCTTCAGATTTCATGGCTTATGACATTGGTAAGTTTCCCAAAGCCATTTAGCTTCAGAAAAGTTTTTGTTGAGAGCAGCTTTAAAGAATAACTAAAAATATCACCAGTTCAAAATGCTCTTGCCATTTGGAAGAGGTCCAAATGGTAGTTTTATATTTATTTGACTAAGGTTACATATTTATTAAAAGTATAACTTCTACATTAGGTTCTTTTTGAAGTCACTGTTGCTAATTGCTTGAATATTACCATTTTTGGAGCTGAGTTGAGATTAATGATTTCTCCCATTTTTACAAATGCCTTACATGGTAGAGTTGAAGTAGTTGTAACCAACCATTGTGTTGTTGATTTAAGCACAGATGCACACATATTCTTGGTTGGGTAATATACTTGACCAGAAGAGGGCAGTGTTTGTTTATGCAAAACAGGTACCATACAAGAAGTGTTCTTGTGTAAATATCAGATGTTCATTTTAAAAGAATTTTATTGTGATAAATACACTTAAAACTTACAGTTTCAATATTTTTAAGTGTATAGTTCAATGAAATTAAATACGTTCATAATATTTACATCTAGCACTACCATCCATGTTCATAATTGTCTTCATCATGTAAAACTGAAACTGTCTATCCATTAAACAATAACTCCCATTTCCCTCTCCTCTCCAATCTTTGCAACTATCATTCTTTTATCCCTACAATTTTTAATTATTCTAAGTCAGGTGTTAATTTTCGACAGACATTTAAGTGCTGGCCACTGAGCTTGTACATTGGGGATAAAGTAAATGAGTTATAGCCCTTAGTCTAATGATGGAGGAGGCAGAGAAATGGACAGTATAACTGCAATTCAGGATGTTTCTTGCTGAAAGGAATAATATGAGAGAGTCTCTTGAGTACCGTTAAGTCACAGGGGGAAGGGTGATAGAAAGGGCCTTCTTGAGGAGGAGTCATCTAAGTGGGGTCCTGAGGAATTCTGGGAATCAGCCAAGTAAAGTTAGGCCGGACTTCTCAGGCACTGGAAGAGACATAGGTGGCATGTGCAGAGACTTAGGTGGCAAGAGACCATAGCACATGGTAGAGTAATTAATTTTGTGTGCATTATAACAACACCCAAGATAGCAGTGGCTTCAAGAGGAATTAGAGAAGTCAATAGCAGTCAAGGAAGGCCATTCTGATCTTGAGAAGCTTACTATGTCTTGCTGAAGTGTGTGGGTTTTTTGAAGCATCTTCCAGAGAAGGCGATGGAATCATACTTATGTCTCAGGAAGATCTCTTCAGTGGCATTATGGCAAGTGGTTAGAAAGGGGCCTTTTGGTAGTTATGAGGCTGCTACTGAAGTCCTGATGAGGGTTTGAACCAATGTGGTGAGCATGGCTCTGAGGATAAAGAGTTAGATGTACTTTGCTGATTACGGGAGCATGAAGATTGTAGGGGTGTGTTTTGAGAGAGATGCAAGCTAGGACTGAGATTTAGCTCAGTGATACGCAGCACCTGCCTCTCAAGTGCAAAGTCCTGAGTTTGATCCCTGGTACAAAAAAAAAAAGAACATGCAATACCAAATGAATTTTGCCAGGGATTTAGCTCAGTGGTGCTGCTGCCTGCCTTGGAAGCGCAAGGTCCTGAGTTGGATTCCCTGTACAAAAAAACCCAAAACAAAACAAAACAAAAAAAAGAGAGTGATGCAAGCTAAAGTAAAGGCGTTAAGGTGAGTGCCTCAGATGGAGGTAGATCTAGGAAAGGCATTAAGAGAGAGATATAGCCTTGGCCTATTTAAATGCTGCTGTGAAAGCCACAGATGGATGTTGGAGGCCCAAAGGAGAGACAGTATACATTGTTCATTCAGGGTAGCTATCTTTCTGGATGGGATGAGAGGAAGGGATCCTGAGATACTGTGCTTTTATGGAAGGCAGCAAGGTGGTTAGGCAGGAAGCTGGGGAGTTGTGGCCTCTATTCCGTATGTGAGGAAGACAGAATCAAGGCTGCTAAGAAAAGGCAGCGAAGACTTGTCAAGGTTGAATGAAGATCTGGATGGAGAAGGTCCTGGGTTTAGTGCATGTCTCAGAGAGTGAGACAGTGAGCATGAGGGTGTGGTACATGAGCACCTGTTGACGTTAGATATGGAAGAGAAGTTGCTCACACAGGTCAGGGCAAAGGAAAATCGGTAGGTCTGGGGGATCTAGGGAACAACTTTTTAAAAATTCAATTAAGTTTTATATTTAAAAAATTTTAATTTTCAACTGATATTTTTCCATTGTAGCTACTTAAGTTTGGGCAAGTATGACTAGAGAAGATTGGAAAATATTTGTGAAACCCATTTTATTCATATAAGCTTTGTAGAATATAAAATTTGCTTGAGTTAAAAAAACATTCTAGTGGGTAGAATGGACAGATAATAGAGTAAATGACAGGCTTGTCATGAAAGTTGGGTGCATTTACTAATTAGCATTGCTGTGTGATCTGCCTTTCTTCCATGCCCTGCTGCCTTGGTGCTGCCACTTTGTACCTGAGAAGTAATCATGTGACTAAGAAAGTTGAGAGCCTCCTTCCCAAAGACTATGTCAATTCTTGTTGATTATGAGTGGCAGTCCATTCTGAAAGGAGTTTTTCTTGTTTCTAGCTTGTGACCGTTGGTCAGTGCTTCCCAGACCTGATCTCCACCATGATGTCAACAGATTTGGCCACTCAGCAGTCTTACACAACAGGTAATTAGAGAAGTTCTTGCTCTTTTCTCTCTTGTGTTTAAAATGAAAATAAAATATGAAGAAGTAGAATTGGGCCTACATATTATTCACAGGATTTCTTCATCCCATTGGTTTTTTTACAGAATTATGTAGATACAGATTTCTTGATCTAGCTTTAAAATACTTGATGTGGATATGAGTTTCTTCAAATGCTGTGTTTATTGGTCTGGTTTTGTTAGGATGCAGAGCATGCTATGTATCACGGTATCTGATTGCATGAGACAGCAAAAGCTACATACACATTACTGTCTTATATTCTCTGCTATTCTTCTTCGTACTTAGGTTGACAAGTTTCTAGTAGTTGTATCTGAGTGTAAAGAGAGTTTTGAGAGAAAAAAAGGAAAAAGGGCACTTCAGGTAAAGGATAAAATAGAGGAACAGACATGGGGAGATTGTTTAGCTTGATACAGTTCCCCCAAACAGACCATACTGCCAGAGCTTTAATTAAGTCTGCTCTGGAGAAGTCTCCATCAAATAAAAGAGATTCCAAGTGATCATTCCACCTGTTCCTTATAGTGAACTTGAAAGATTTTTGAGAAGATTTTTTGAGAAGCTAAACAGCTTAATCATATAATTACTTTTTCTTATTTTGTTTCTGCTGTTACTGGTGTATCTCTTTTCACTCTTTTTTTTTTGGTATGGGGATCAAACTTGGGACCTTGTGCTTGTGAGGCAGGCAGCGGCACTACTGAGCTAAATCCCCAGCCCCCAGTTTTTAAAAAAATTTCACAATTTAGATATACATAATGATCACATTCATCATCGGGAATTAATACTTGTACATGATGTATCTTGATTCCTCTTTTTTTCCCATTCCCCTCCCCTCCCTTTAACCCCCTCTCACCTCCCTATTTACAAAAGCTCCATTTCCATTTTTTCCTTTCCTCATTTTTTTCATTTTCCTTCCTTCCTTTACCCCTCCCCACTCTCTAATTCTCCCTTCCTTTTGAACAATTTTTTCTTATTTCACATTGTCTATTAATATGTTTTGGTCCCTATTTACAATTTCGTATTCTTACACCAGAGAGACAGTTTGATATTTACACATGTGTATCCAATTTATTTCACTTCAGTGTATAGCTTCAAGGTACATCCATTTAGCTATAAATGTCTCACATTTATCTTTCTTTATGGCTGAGTAGTACTCCGCTGTATAGAAAAACCACATCTTTTTTTATCCATTCATCAGTTAATGGGCATTTAGGCTGTTTTCCAAGATTTAGCTATTGCAAACTGTTTTGCTATAAACATGGACGTGCATATATTGCTGTGGTATGATGCTTTTAATTCTTTTGAGATGATACCCAGAAGGGGAAAAGCTGGTTCAAATGGGACCTCTAATCTTAGTTTTTTGAGGAATCTCCACATTGATTTCCACAGTGGTTGCACCAGTCTACACTCCCACCGACAGTGGAGAAGGGTTCCTTTTTCCCCACAGCCTTTTTTCCCCCGCTGTGCATTGTCTCTTCACTCTGTTGGTGATTTCTTTTGCTTACAAATGTTTTTAATAAGATGAAGTCCCAGTTGTTGATTCTTTGTAGTATTTCCCATGTAGTCTGGATTTTGTTCATGAAGTCTTTGCATCCACCTATGTCCTCAAGTGTTCTACCTATTCTCTCTTCCAGTGAATTTAATGTTTCTGTTCTAATATTTAGATCTTTGATCGATTTTTATTTTAGTTTAGTATGTAGAAAGCCAGTTTTTCCAGCACCATTTATTAAAGATGCTATCTTTTCTTCCAGTGAACATGTTTGGCCCCTTTTCAAAGATAAGGTGGCTGAGTGTGTTTGGGGTTGTTTCTGCATCTTCTGATTTATCCCATTGATCCTTAGATCTGTTTTTTTTCCATTACCATGCTGTTTTTACCACACAAGCTCTGTAGTATAATTTCAAATTAGGAATTGTGATGCCCTCTGCCTTGTCCTTGTTTCCCAGAATTGCTTTTGCTATTCTGGGTCTCTTCTGGTTCCAAATGAATTTTAGGATTGCTTTCTCTAATTCTGTGAGATATGCTGTTGGAATTGCATTAAATCTGTATAACAATTTTGGAAGTATGGCCATTTTCACTGTATTGGTTCTTCCTATCCAAGAACAAGGGATATCTTTCCATTTTCTGATATCTTCTTCGATCTCCTTTTTCAAAGTACAGTAGTATTCATTAGATTGATTCCTAGGTATTTCAATGTTTTTGCATGCTAGATGTGAAAGGTGTTGTTTCCCTAATTTCTCAATAAGTTTGTTATTTGTGTACAGGAAGGCTATTGATTTTTGAGTGTTGACTTTTACCCAGCTACATTGCTGAATTTAGTTATTAAATCTAGAAGTCTTTTGGTGGAGTTTTTGGGGTCTTCTATGTAGAGAATCATGTCTTCTTCAAATAATAATTGAACTTCTTCCTTTCCTATCTTTATTCCTTTTCTTTCTCTTGTCTAATTGCTCTAGCTAATGTTTCCAGAACTTTGTTGAATAGGAGTGGTGATAGTGAACATCCTTGTCTTGTTCCTGATTTTAGAGTGAAAGCTTTCAGTTTTTGTCCATTTAGTATGATGTTGGCTGTTGGTTTGTCATAGATGGCTTTTATCAGATTGAGGTAAAGACCGTCTATTCCAGTTTTCTGTATAGTTTTTATCATGAATGGGTGTTGGACTTTGTCAAATGCTTTTTCTATGTCTGTTCAGATAATTGTGTGATTTTTGTCTTTGGCTCTCTTGATGATGGTGTATTATATTTATCGATTTGTGGGTGTTGAACCATCCCTGGATCCCTGGGATGAATCCTACTTGATCATGGTGTATAATCCTCTTGATGATTTGCTGCATTCTGTTTGCCAGTATCATATTGAGGATGTTTGTGTCTTATGTTCATTAGGGAGATTGGTATTCATTAGGAAGATTTCTATTTTGGTTGGGTCCTTTTCTGGTTTTGGAATCAGGGTAATGCTTCTTCCAGGAATTATTTGGGAGCTTCTCTTTGTATTTCATTAAAGAGTTTGAGAAATAGCGGCATTAGATCTTCTCTAAATTTCTTGTAGAATTCAGTACTGAAGCAATCAAGACCTGGCCTTTTCTATGTTGTTAAGTTTTTAATTACATTTTCAATTTCAATGACTGATATTGGGTTATTTAAAATTTTAATGTCTTCTCATTTCACATTTGGTAATTCATATGTATCTAGGAATCTGTTCTTTTTTTAATGTTTTCCATTTTATGAGAGTATAGGTTATTGGAGTAGGTATTGATAGTCTTCTGGATTTCCACAGTATCTGTTGTGATTTCACCCTTTTCATTCCTAATTGTATGAATTTGAGTGTTTTCTTTCCTTTTTTTCATAAGGTTGGCTAAGAGTTTATCTATTTTATTTAATCTTTCAAAGAACCAACTCTTCAATTCATTGATTCTTTGTATTGTTTTCATAGTCTCAATTGCATTAATTTCTGCTCGGATCTTTATAGTTTCTTTTCTTGTAGGCATTTCAGCATGACTTGTTCTTCTTTTTCTAAAAGTTTGAGGTACAACATTAGGTTATTTATTTGAGCTCATTCTGTTTTCCAGATGCAAGAATTCACTGTTATAAATTTCCCTCTTATGACTGCTTTCATTGTGTCCCATAAGTTGTGATATGTTATGTCTGTATTATCACTTAGTTATAGATACGGTTTAATTTCTCCTGTGACCCATTGGTTTTTCAGGAGGGTGTTGTTTAATTTCCATGTGTTTATGCATTTTTTGTGGTTTCTTTTGCCATTGATCAGTTTCATTGCACTATGGTTAGATAATATATGCATGGTTAGATAATTTCAATTCCTTTGCATTTACCTAAGTGTGTTCTATGGGCTAATATGTGGTCTCTTTTGGAGAATATCCCATGTGCAGCTGAGAAGAATGTGTATTCTGTAGTTTTGGAGTGGAACACCATCTACTAAGTCCATTTGTTCACAAATTTGGTTCATTTCATATATTCCTTTGTTGATTGTCTAGTTGTTCTGTCTATTTGTGATAGTGGGGTATTAAGGTCCCCCATTACAGTTGTGTTAGTACTTATTAAGTTTTTCATGTCTGTTAATATTTGTTTTATATAATTGGGTGCACCAATATTTGGTGCATATATATTTATAATTGTTACCTCCTCTTCTTGAAATATTCCTTTACAAAGTATGTAGTGACCTTCTTTGTCTCTTTTGATCAATCTTGGCTTGAAGTTCACATTGTCTGCAAATAGAATAGCTACCCCTGCTTTTTTCTGTTGCATGGAACATTGTTTTCCATCCTTTGACTTTCAGTCTATGAACTTCTTTTTGAGTTAAATGTGTTTCTTGTATGCAGTGTATTGTTGAATTATGTCTTGATCCACTCTTCCAGTCTGTTTCTTTTGATTGGTGAATTGAGACCATTTACATTGATGGTTATAACTGATATGTATTGGACTATCCTTGTCATATATTTCTGCTGTTGGTTCCCTGACTTTCCTCTCTCTTTAATTGCTTGCCCAGCCTGGTGGCTTCCTTCTTTTGGTATTCTTAGAATTGTGATTTTCATTATCTCTTTTTAAAATGCCCCCCAGAATGCTTTGAGAGCTAGTTTGTTGGTTGTGAATTTCTTCAGTTGTTCTTTGTCATGGAAGTATTTTATTTCTCCATTGATTTTGAAAGATAGTTTTGTGGGGTACATTAATCTGGGCTGGAAGTTGTTTTCTTTTAGGGCTTGAAATACTTCACTCCAGGCTGTCCTTTCCTCAAGGGATTGTGTCGAGAAATCTGCTGTGATTCTGATAGGCTTTCCTTTATAGGGGATTTGTTTCTTTTCTCTAACGGCTTTTAATCTATTCTTGTGCTGAATTTCTGGAATCTTTATTTTTATGTGCCTTGGTGTGAATTTATTTTGGTCATGGCTATTTGGAGTTCTGTATGCCTCACTCATTTGTATGTGAAATTCTTTTTTCAAATTAGGGAAGTTTTATGCCAT